CCCCCCCTCTTGCGCAGCACACAGTCCGCACCGGCGCACAGCTCTCTCTCGCCGCATTGGCGGACCCCTGACCTTCCAGTTGCGCAGTGCAGAGCCCGGCGAGGGCCAGCGTTGCGGACAGCAGCGCGGCGTAGCGCGCCCGTTGAGCAGAGCGCCCAGCGTTCTGCCGGGCGTAGCGCAGCCCAGATTGGAGGGCTCAGCCGAGCACCTAGCGTGGCAAACGTGCGGTTGTGCGAGGCGCGGCAGATGCGTGAGGCAAAGTTGCGAGAGCGCAGTGATGGCGGCCCGGCGCGCCGCAACGCAGAGGTGGCTCAGCGCAGGGGCGATATGATCGAGCGGGAGAGGAGCACCAGAGGGCGGCTTGGGTATGGCGGTGGTGGTGCAAGGCAGAGGGTCAGAACGTCTCTGTGCGCCGCCGTCACCCACGCCGCAGTGCAACGCGACGCAAATGCGATCCCTGCTGCATCGAGCGGAGACGACACGCGTGTCTCTCCGCATGCGTGACAATTCTTCAATCTCCCACACCGTCTGATGCCTGGCGCACCGGGCGGCAGAGCAGAGCAGAGCCGCAGCAAGCCGCTCGACGTGGCAGAAGGCGGAGCACGCGGCTGACAGATACGCGAGGGCGCAGTAGAGGTGCGAGAGAGACGGTGCCTCAGCACAGGACGGCGAGCGTGACGGGCAGCGGCGCAGCGAGGAGGCGCAGAGGAGCTGCGCCTCGACGTGGACAGAGCACAACCAACCGTTGCGGCTGAGTGTATGGAAAGCAGGCAACTGCGGCGGGCGGCAGTGAAGGTGGTGAAGAGCCAGCGGGGCGTGACGCTGCTGCGGTATCGGCGTTCACCTCCGGCCGCCTGCCGAGCACGTCAACCTCTGGGCAGGTCGTGGCAGGAAGACAAACTGCAGCGCCCTACAAGGCGGACACAGCGCGCGCCGCGCCAGGCCGCCCTGCCAGCCGTATTTCTTGCCCTCTGCAGGCTGAGGTGCTGCGGTGGGCGGAGACGCCGGGCCCATAAGCATGTTGGACGGCCATGTGCGGGCGAAGGGGGAGGGGGGGAGGCAGACCTGTGACGGGCGCGCCGCCGGCCGCAGCGCCCCGCGGGAGGCAGCAAAGGCGGGCCATGCGGCGTGCGAGCCGCTCGCTGGTGCGACCCCGGCGCTGCCAAAGACGGCAAAGGCGCGGTCCCTCGGCATCGTCGGGCAGCGGTGCGCTGGGACAGCGAGTAGCCCTTGCGCGCAGGCCTGCGGCTCGCTTGCCAGCATGCAGAGAGGCGAGCGGTGAGGACAAGCAGCACATGCCAGGCGTGGCTTTCGCTTGCCGGGTCTGCGGCCTCCCCAGCTCCTCTGCACGAAGCCGGCACCAATCAGCGCTACCGACGGAGCCGCTTTGCCGCCCCAGGCCACTGTAGGCCCACCTCGGCAGCCGCACGTGTTGCGCTGCTTGCCACTGCACGCCGCTCGCTACCCTCTGTGCGGCGCTGTGTGGCGTCATGATATTGTCGCGCACACGCAGGGAGGGCAAGATGCTTTCACGCAGGATCCATTCATTGCAATGGCAAGCGCCGAAGGCGTGCTGCATCCCCCGCTCTTGCCGTATCTTTGTCGCTGCCCGTCGCACGCACTCACCAAGAACTTTTGCGCGGCGCCCCGCAACACAGACGTGCCCAACTCTGCACGCCTCGAGCGGCGCCGAGTCCGCCCGCCAAGCAGGGAGGCCGCTGTCCAAGCTGGCGCCCCACCAGGCTTGACATTCGCGGCCAGGGCGGCAGCCCACTGACTGGCGTGTACATGCAACTGCAATGCAGCGGCGGCGAGCCTGGCGCATCGCCGGGCCATGGGGCTATCATTGTTGGCTCCTGCGCAGCGCACTGCGTGGGCAACTGCGCAGCAGAAGCGGGGTCACGGCATCGCCAATGCGCGCCAGGGGCACAGCGCACGCCTGCTGCAGGCCGCTGAGGCATGGAAGCTGCTCTTCTCGGAGCTGCATCGGGTGACTCTCTCTTGGCCGCGTTGGAGAAAAGACGCCCGTCCGCGGCAGCAAGACGGCAGGAACCGTACATCCCCCGTCTCGAGCGCAGGCGCACTCACCAAGGAACGCCGCTCTTTCCTCCTTCTCTGCCCCGCTTCCTTTTCTTCTCCCCCTGCATGGCCGCGCGACAGATTTGAGCAGCGCAGGCTGCAGCGCCAATGGCCAGAGGCGGAGCGCAAGCGCGGGCGGCAAGCAGTAGGCGGGCAACGCAAAAGGCGGGCGTGGCTGCAGAGAGGAAGTGACAAGCGCTGCAGGCCAGAGTAGTGCCGACTTGCTGTGGCGAGCTCTGTAGCGACTCACCGGGCCGCTTGACTCTTTGCACCGATGCTTTGCTGCCCCGCCCCCCCCCC